GGAGATCTGCTCTGCTATCCATCCCTGTGTCCATCCCTAGTTTTGGGGTTCACCTTGCCATGTCATCCCTCTCCTGTGGCATCATTCTTCCCCTTCTCCTGCCTGCAGGTCATGCCTCAGGAGGAGGAGGCGAGGAGCAGCCTCATGTACCGCTACATCATCCACGAGGACCTGCTGCCCATGATCGGGAACAACAACGTGCTGCTGGAGGAGATGGATTCCTACGAGTGGGCCCTCAAGAGCTGGTCCCAGTGCTCCAAGGCCTGTGGAGGAGGTAACTCCCTCACCATAGCACACCTTGGGGGGTGTTTGGATATGGTAGAGGGTGTTTGAGCCCCTTGGGGTATCCCTGGCTTGGAAAAATAATTACAAAGCAGTTAAAGTGGGTGTTTTAGCCATATTTCTCATGGAAATGGGCTGACGTGATCATGTGTGCGCACCTTTGTTTGTCTGTCCACGGACCTGCTATGATTTTGGAATTCCTTGGCTGTTTTTAACTGAATTTAAGCCAAGAAATAGTGATTTGGWAGATGACCACTACTGAGGTTTGCGTGGAACCTGGCGTGGGGTTTGCTGGTGAAAGCCTTGTTTCCATGCAGCCATCTCAGATCGTGGGGAACACCTCTGGGAACGTGCTCTGGGAATTAGAGTGGTTTTGGGCTGGAAGGAGCCTTTAAAGGTCACCTGGTCTGACCCCATGCCGTGGGCTGGGACACTTCCCATGAGCTGTGTGCACCCCACAGCACCCCAGGACGGTCCAGCAGCCACATGAGCAACCTTGGGTCCCACCTGAGCGGTGACATCCAGGAACACAAATCCCAGCAGGAATGCAGGAGAGGGACCTGGGGGACCTTGGAGGGGACCCCCCCCAGCCATCATCATCTCTCTGCCCCCTCAGGCATCCAGTACACCAAATATGGCTGCCGTCGGAAAAGCGACAACCGGATGGTGCACAGAAACTTCTGTGACAACGGCAAGAAGCCCAAGCCCATCCGGAGGCGCTGCAACCTCCAGGAATGCTCCCAGCCCATGTGAGTCCTCCCTGCGAGGCCTGAGGYGCTCCCATCCCTGTCTGGGGAGCTTTGGGGTCAGGCTGGGAGCGTTTCTGGTGTGAGGGAATCGCCTCAAACACCGTCTCCATGTCCATCTTCCCGCCCCGCAGGTGGGTGGCCGAGGAGTGGGGCGCCTGCAGCCGCTCCTGCGGGAAGCTGGGGGTGCAGGCTCGGGGGGTGCAGTGTGTGCAGCGGCTGCAGGACGGCACCAACCGCACCCTGCACACCAAGAACTGCCCCGGGCAGCGCCCTGAGACCCGCCGGCCCTGCGGCCGCCTGCCCTGCCCCGCTCAGTGGAGGACGGGAGCCTGGTCCGAGGTGAGGAAAGCCCTGAGAGAGGTGGGGGTGAAGGTCAGGAGAGGAATTCCAGAATGGTTTGGTTAAAAGGGAGCTTTGAAGGGTCATCCAGTCCAAGCTCCTTTCCATGGACCAGGCTGCTCAGAATCCCACCCAGCCTGGCCTTGGTGCAGATTAGTACACAAGAGCCAGTGATRCTTTCACAGAATCCTGGAATGGTTTGGGTTGGAAGAGACCTTAAAACCYATCTGATTCCAGCCCCATCTCAATCCAACCCCATTTTATTCCAACCCCATTTCATTCCAGCCCCTTGCCTTGGTCAGCTTACCCTCCCCTAGACCAGGTTCCTCCAAGCCTGGCTTTGAACATTTCCRGGGATAARGGTGCAAGAAGCAGTGATGCTTTCACAGAATCCTGGAATGGTTTGGGTTGGAARYGACCTTGAAGCCCATCTCATTCCAAGCCCTTGCYTCASCCAGGTTACTCTCCMCTAGASCAGGTYCCTCCAAGCCTGGCTTTGAACACTTCCARGGATAAGGGAYTGGAAATGAGAGAGCAGAGAGCAYCCCTGTGTGGAGAGKGKTTGGGAGACAAATGGGGAATCCTCAAACTTTTAAGCTATATCTACCTGAGGAATGGTCACGTGCACGTCCTGGGGTGCTGCTGGGGTGTGTGGTGGCTGTCCTCAGGCTGTCACTGTCTGTCTGTCTGTCTGTCTGTCCGTCTGTGTGGCTGCAGTGCTCAGCGACCTGCGGGGAAGGCGTCCAGCAGCGGCAGGTGGTGTGCAAGGGCAGCGACAGCGGTGCGCGCTGCGACGGTGACAAGCCAGAGGCCATCCAGGGCTGCCACGTGGCGCTGTGCCCAGGTGAGAGGAGCAGGAGGAGGAGGCACTGGGATGGAGCACATCCCAAGGGGGATCAACCCCATGAATGCCCCCAGCCCATTGTGGCTTCAGGGGGTGCCACCACACAAGGCTGGGTTGAATGTCCCTGATGCTGCTGTCAGTAATAACAGGTTCAAAGCCAGCCGAGATATTTCCCTTCTCTGCCCTGAGCCCTGGCACTGGGTGATTTTGGCTTTTCTGACAATTTGAAGACTCAGTGAGCTGATGGAGATAAGCACCCTTGAGTTCATCTTGAATGGGGTTTGAGCAGCTTGAGTGCTGGCCAGTGGGGTGCTCCCTATGGGACTTAATTTGTAAGAAGATGCCTTAAAACAAAACAAAACAAAGCAAAGCAAAATAAAACAGAACAAAAAAAAATCAAAACAAACACCCTCCCGAGATGTTTTGAGTGCCCCCAGCCTGCCATGGCTGCCTGGCATCACGATGCTCTCTCCACAGGGAAGATCTCTGGCATCACCGCCAGCGCCGACGCCGGTGACCACGGCGTGACCAAAGGGCAGCGGGTGCCCCAGGATGGAGCCAAAAACCCCGTGAGCAAGATCTCCTCCAGTGAGTGCCCCTGGAAGGGTGGTGCTTCCCAGGATGACCCTCCCGAGGGAGCACACCCTGCAGTGCTCCCAGGCAGTTTGACCCTCTGCTCCCTTTGCTCCATTGCCATCTCGTGGTGTAGGAGGTCCTGCGGTTTCCCTGCTGCCTCCCGGGTTTTATGCCCTTTCCTTTTCACCTTGGGATTTTTCTAAGCAGGGAGGTGCCTTCTGGTTTTTTTCCTTGGAGTCCTTCCTTACTGGGGTGGGGTGCATCCTGACCTGATTTAAGGTGCTGGTTTGGAGCATCCCTTGCTGTCTGTTTTCAATCCGTGCACAGAATCCTTCAGCGCTTTGATTTCACTTTCCAAGTCCTCCTTGCCCGCTTCCTGTGTGGACAGGCAGCACCCACCACACCCCACCTCGTTCCTTTTGGGAATCCCATTGGAGAGGTGCAGGACAGGGAGCCTAATGCCACGTTTTTCTGTGCTGCTGTGTCCCCCTCCAGGAGAGCCGTGCCTCGGGGACAAGTCCATCTTCTGCCAGATGGAGGTCCTGGCCCGCTACTGCTCCATCCCYGGCTACAACAAGCTCTGCTGCGAGTCCTGTGGCAAGAAATCCTCCTCCACCACCGGCTCCCCTGCTGCCACTGGCATTCCCCTGGGCACCACCGCTCCCAGCCCCGCTCCAGTGCTCTCCCCCTACCCCACAGCCCCGGGGGAACCTGGTGGGGACCCCACTGGGGCACCTGGGGTATCCAGCAGTGGTGCTTTTCCAGGGGAGCCAGGAAGGGGCCAGGGGGCCAGGTAACCTGCTCAGGACCACCTCACTGTGGGGCAGGGAAAGCCTTTCTCCCTCTTCCTTCCCTTCCTCCCCATCTTTTTCCTCTCCCCCCAACTTCCAGCGATGGTGGTGCTGCCAGCTTTGGAAACAACCCAGCTCCACACCCAGGAATTCCTGGGAAAACCACTTATTTCTTGCCCTCCCAGCTGTGCCATGGCGCGTTTTGGCAATGCTGTGGGAAAAAAGAGCAAAAAAAGTGGCAGGTAGACAGGCTGCTTCCTCCCAAGGTGCTAAAAAGATGTGGGAGGGGGATGGTTTTCATGTCACTTTTTCCTTCCCCCTGCTCCAAGCAGCAGCACGGGGTGTGCTGGAGAGGAGGGTCCTGGCTTTGGGTTCAGCCCCAGAGCAGTGGGAGGATATTGGGAATCTGGGGGGGCAGGGAACCCAGAGGGAGGGAGGTGGTGAGGTGAGGAGAGGGGAAATTTGGGTTTCCCAAATCCCAAACTGCTGGTCTGGGCTGTCCYTGTCGGGGTGGAGAGTTTGGGAAACACCTCTGGGGGAAGGTGGAATGTGAAAAATACAGAGCAGCTTCTGTCCTGGGGGTGGAGGAGGGTCCAGGAAATTCCAAAGTGAGCGATAAGAGTCGCGGGTCAAAGACCAAAAATCCATGTCCAAAATGCCCTTCACCTGGGGGTGACTTTGTTTTAGCCAATGTTGCCCTTGGCCAGCCTTGAGCTGTCACCGATGCCCAACCTCCCCAGGATCACCAGCCTCACCCCTGCACCCTTGCACCAAGTCCTGGGGGGCACCAACAGCTTCCAGGGGGTGACTGGGAAGCYAGGAGCAGATTTTAGGGTGACAAGGAGAGAAGAGAGGCAAAGGGTCATCTGCAGCTCATTGCTTGGGGGTGGGTGAGAGGGGGATGATTAATGCCATTACCAATTCTTGTGCCAAGCACTAAACATTTGCACAGCACTTTAGGAGCCTTAGGCTGCCCTCACCTCACTGGGTGTTGGGCCAGCTCCGGGCACAGGGTTTGCCTGGGCGAGTTTCAGTCCTCAAAAGCCTCCCCAGAATGTGTCCCTGAGGGGGCTGCCATGGTTTTKGTGCTTAAGGCACCTCTGGGTGCTGGGGCAGGGAAAGGTGGGCATCTCTGCAGGGGAGGTTTTGGGAATGGGGAGGTGGGAATGGGAATTGGCAGATGGACCAGTTTGGCATGGCAGAGTGGGATGTCCTTGGGAGCTGGCCCTGGTGATCCTGCTGCCCCAAAATCCAAGGAGCAGGATGTGACATCCTTAGGGACATTGTGAGCTCTGCAGGTATCCAGGGCTTGGTAGCGAGGTAGCCTGGGATGATTTTCTTGGTCTGGTGTGGTTGGTGACAGGGTTTGAGGTGCTTTGAGATGGATAGAGAGCCCTCTGCATTCCTGAAGTTTTTATTGGACTCTGCTGTTCTCCCCYGGAGCTTTCCAAGCCGAGGCACGGCTGGACAAGCATTTTCCCAACTCCTCCAAGCACCCGAGGCTGGAACCCCCAACCTCCTGGGTGCTGCCCTTTGGCATGAGGTGGGCATCCCAAAAGGTGGAGCACAGCCCCCAGTCTGTCTGAGCCACACAGCTGGCACACCTCATGGGAGTGGGCACACAGAGGGTGCTCTGGAGCACCCAGATCTGGGCCATGCAGGTATCAGAACCCACAGGGGATCCTGAGGGACACCAGGGTGGGATTCATCCCTTGGAATGCTGCCACCACCCCCTTGCAGCCCCTCCACGGGAGCGCCAGCATTTGTTTATTTATTGTGCCAAAGATAAAAAAAAAGACCTTCCCCTCCAGAACTGGGCTGTGGTGTCCTTCCTCCCCAGTTCCCTCGCTTTCCTCCTGGCCTGGGCATTGGTGCTTTGTTGCTTAAGGAATATTTGCAGTGGTCGCTGGCTACACCTCGGGGGTGTTTGGGTGGGGGCTCAGTGCTGCTTTAGGGCTGATCCCCTAAAGCACGATGTGATGAACCCTCCCCACCAGCCATGGGTGCTCCGGGGTGCTGATGCTGCAGGGCTGGCACCCAGCTCTGTGGATTTCATGGGATCCTGGAATGGTTTGGGTTGGAAGAGTCCATAAATCCCATCCAGTTCCATGGGCAGGGACCCCTTCTGCT